GTTCAATAATGTTCAATTTGGGCCCAACAGGAGCCAGCTCCCAACAGGAGCTGGCTGGGCCACCCTGTCAGGGCCACCCTGTCAGAACAGGCTTGATGACCTTAAAGGGTCCCCTTCAAATCAGAGACTGCTGAGGAACAATTTTTTCTGCTTCCCACAAATCAGTCCTTTTCCCAGGGAGAATATAGTTTTTGGGCATCTTTGACACTGCATAAGTAAAACCCTACAGGCCTGGTGGGGACAAGTAGGTTTGTGCCCTAGTGTGGATGTGCTGGTGCCTGATCATGTTGGAGCTCCAGCTGGAGCCTCATAATGGTGTAGGACTCATAAAGCCCATAAACCGCACAAGAGGCTCTCATCATAAAGTCTCCTCATAAAGCCCATCTACCTCACAATGGGGCAGCCTCAGAAGGTCTCTGTGCTCATAGAACCTGTAATAAATCAAGACCCTGTCCACAGGACTCATATGCAGGATCTTAGAACAATAGTGATTCAGGACATTAGGGAGGCTGTGCCTCGTGGGCAAAATATTAATAAAGCCTTTAATGAAATGCAAAAAAAGGATGAAAGTCCAACAGAATGGCTGGAAAGATTGAGAAAGGCTCTCCAGCTATATTCAGACTTTAATCCCGACAATCCATTTGGACAAGCGTTACTTAAAACACAGTTTGTGGCAAAATCATGGGAAGACATTAGAAGGAAAATTGAAAAGTTAGAAGATTGGCAGGACAGAGGACTGGATGAATTGTTGAGGGAGGCTCAAAAAGTGTACGTGAGAAGGGAGGATGAGACAAGTAAAAATGATGGTGGCAGCAGTGAGAGTAGAAAAGGGTAAAGTGGAAGAAGTGACTAGGTGGGAACAGGGAAGTTGTTTTTATGGTGGGAAGAGGGGGCATATAAAGAAAAACTGCAGATGGACACATGCCAGTCGTATTAAAGGACCAGTGAATCCCCCACATTGGAAAATAATCAGCGCTCCTGGAGACACTAAGTTGGTTCTGAGAAGATAAGTGATGACAGAGATATTAAAAAATTTATTTGATGTCATACCCTTTGGAATTAAGTGTTTACTGGAATTAATTTTTGCATTTGTTTTCTCCTTATTCATATATTATTTATGGAAAGTTGTAAAGTGTGGAAAAGGAGTTTGTTAGATTATATTAACCCCAACATCACATATAGGAAATCCATAAATTTAGGAGATCCGGGAGAAGTGTATAATCTGGATATACGTATAAAGTGTAATACCCCAGGTTGTGAGTGTTACCCTTTTGTCTGTTTTAAATGTAAAAAGTGCCAAGAAAAGTGGTGGAAGCATTGTAGGTACGGATATCCTCCTAGAGGAGTCTGTACCCAGTGCTATCGATTCGAACGGAGTTTTACTATTTGGGCATTACATCACTTAGAAGAAAGAGGGGTTCCATGGAGATCCCCTGAGTGGTGGAATTACTTTGTATTCGGAATCAACCCTCAATATTTTTGTTATCACCCAAATGAACCAGCTCCTTTTGTAGTAGACATAATCAAAGTCCAGTGCCGAAGGGAAATAAAAGCCTTGCGGTGTAATGGGTTTATGGTAAAAGCCACCTCGTGGCCTGCTTATACAGCACGTCTCACTAAATATAAGAGGCATATTCCTACCAGGGACTCCTGCTGCCGAGAAGATGGAACACCCCGTGACTCGAAGCAACCGAGCCGACGGGCGAGGCAGAGGAAGAAGACCCGAAAAAGGAAAGAGCCTAAGTCGTGGGACACCCAAGCTGCAATGGCTGAGTTACCCCAGGACTGGTGAAGGTAAACGAGCTGGCATGAATAAAACCTTTGATTTAACAAAACCAGACACCCTTTATACAGGCACTCTTTACATTTCAACTCTAGTCCTAATGCTTTCTGTAATTCCGACATATACAAAAAAACCCCACATGAACCATTCAAATGAAGTTTAATTAAATGGGAAAATCAAAAAGTACTTGCTACTTTTACTGAGTCCGGCAGCCCTGCCTTTCATACCTACTTGTGTGACCTAACATTTCTACTGTGGATATTGGAGATGTGAAAACAAAGGAAAAAGGATAGAGAGACCAGCCGCTCATGGTATGAACACTAGTTTAGTACATCACCATGACTAACTACTTTACTTTCAACTTTAGCAGGACCAGTTATCATGATTATATTAGGATTGATGTTTGGACCATGTATTATAAAGTATATTTTACACTTTGTGAAAGAACGCTTTGAAACCGCAAAACTATTCATACTTGCTTCCAGGTATAATGCTGTGCCAATAGATAACCCCGATGATACTTATGTACCAATGAACAACCCCGATGATGATTATGTATCAATGAATCGCCTTAATGATGATTATTGTAACTGTGATGTGTTACATTGTGCTTGTTACAATCATTGTGAGAAATGTGAGAAGAAGTTTGCTTGTTTTCAGGAAGAGTCAAGTACTGAAGTTTGATAAACAAATTTCAAGTATAAAAAGAAAAAGGGGGGATTATAATAAATTAAGGTGGGAAATATAGTTTATCAAACAGGATGCATCTTTTGCTAAAAATACTAAGCTAAAAATGTACAATAAACCTCAAGAGACTATGTAGTAGTTATGTAAGAGACAAGATTGCCAAAGGTTCTTAGAGTTACAAGGACGATCCATATTAGGAGGCAATTACTATCCAGAACAAAAAGGGCAAACAAGGGACACACGAGGAAGACGTCTTACTTCAGCCTCGACGACCACCAGAAGGCAGAAAAGACCCCTTAGTAACAGCCCAAGCATGCACAAGAGTACTACTGCTACGTCAAGAAAATGGAACTAAGAAACCATAAAAAGGGACTTTTTCAATGTTTTAGCGCGGCAGTTGGTGGGGCGAAGACCCCTCTCTGTCGCCCAGCGCTGCATTTTGCTCATATTCCGCTTGCTATCTCTAAGCAATAAATAAATTTTAATTGGTACTCTGATCATTTGTGGTCACAATTTATAACAGAACCCATCCACCCCATAATGGTGCAGCCTCATTAAGGCACTGTCCTCATAACCCTCAAACACCTCATAACAGTGGAGGCTTCATAAAGCCCCTGTCGTCATAAGGCCCATAAACCTCCTCATGGGGCTGTCATCATAAAGGAGATGTTCTCATAAATGCCATAAACCTCATAAAGGCTCTGTCCTCATAAAGCCTTTGCACCTCAGAGTGGCAAACATCATAAAGGTTCTGCCCTCATAAAAACAATAAATGTCATAAAAGCACTGTCCTCATACACCTCATGATAGAGCTTTCATCCTAAAAGGTCTCTCTGCATAAAGCCCATGCACATCATAAAGGTGCTGTCCTCAGAAAGCCCATACACCTCATAAGAGACTCTCCTCATAAAGGCCATGTCCTTATAAACCCCATAAACTTTACTGCCTAAAAGGCTGCAGAGGAAAAAAGACTCCAGGGCAAACTAGGTAGGAGGTCAGAGAAGCAGCAGAGGTTTCCATGAGCCTCCAGGCTCCAGGAATACAAACACACACCCGTCCCTTCCAACACAGGGGTTACAGTTTTTATAATGATTTCCACCCAATGCCCGTCCCGTCCCGTCCCCGCCCCGGTTCTGCCCCGCTCTGCCCCAGGAACGCCCGTGGGGAATTGAGTCTGGGGGAGTTTGGAGCTTTGAGCCGCTGCAACTACAACTCCCGGCGTGCCCCGCGCGGAAAAGGGGGCGGGGCGGGGTCTCTGCCGGCGGTGCGCGCGCACAGCCCCGCGGTGGCTGCCGGGAAATCGATGGCGGCGGCACTGGAATCTCCGACTCTGTGAGCCCTGGCGGGGTCTGCGGCGGGGCTGGGGATGCGCTCGGGGGCTGCGGGGAGCGCGGCTGTGGGCGGGAAGGCTGGAGGGCTCGGCAGAGTGGAGAGGAGGGGCTCGGGGGTTCCCGAGGAGGTTTCGAGGTCGGTGAGGGGCTGTCGGGGGGTCGCGGAGGGGATTTGGTGTCCTGAGGGCGCTCAGAGGGGAGGGTGAAGGTGCCTGAAGGGGTTTAGGAGGTCCCTGAAAGGGCTGGGGGCCTTGGAACCCTCCGGGGGGGCTGTTTAAACGCCATGGCTGCACTGCGCAGGCGCCGGCGGAGTTTCCACGAGGGAACTTCAACTCCCATGAAGCTTCGCGCGGCGCCGCCATTGCCGCTCGTGCCTCAGCGCCCCCTTGCCGGTTGGGCGGACCGACCGCAGGGAAAGCGGTTCCTGAAGCCCCCCCCCGAACCCCGGAGACCCCCCAAAACTCAGCACACAGAGACCCCACAGAGAGGGGGGCTCAGAGGCGCCTAAAGCCTATAATTGGGTTTTAGGGGGTCCCCGAGACCTCAGAGGTGGGTTCTGATGATGCCACCCAAATTTTTTGCAGGGAGATGAACCACATCCAGGTAAAGGGATCCCAGTGCCCCCAGTATAGCCCAGTGACGTCCCAGTGACTCTTAGTATGGCCCAGTAACCCCCCACCAGTGACAACCCAGTGTTTCCCAGTGACCTCCCACTGCCCCCCAGTATGGCCCAATGATCCCCCAGTGAGCACCCAGTAACCCTCAGTATGGCACAGTAACCTTCCAGTGTCTCCTTCTCTGTTCTGGTAATCACCCAGTAATCACCCAGTCCCTCCCAGCATCCCTCAATAACGCCCCAGTCCCTCCCAGTGCCCCCTGGTTCCCCCAGGTGTGTTCCAGTATCCCCCAGTAATCACCCAGTGCCCCACAAGTGTCCCCAACGTGTCCCCAGCGTGTCCCCAGATGCCCTTGATCTTTCTGTGAGCATGGGGGGACGGGGCTGTTTTGGAGGTGAGAGGGTCCAGGAGGGCCTTCTGGGGGAGGTGGAGGGTTGGGGACATCAGAGATGGGGTTTGGGAACAGTGGGGAGGGGTTTGGGGACAGTGGAATAAGGGGTTTCAAGGGGGGAACTGGGACCATGGGGAGGCCCTGGGGACATTGGAGACACCAAGGGGGTCTCGAGGTGCCAAATGGGAAATTGAAGACACCAGGAGGTTCTTGGGGACACCGTGAGGGTCTCAGGACTCACCTGCTTGTGGTGCTGCCCCTTCTGTCCCCCCCCAGGCCCCAATAAGGACTCCCAAATGTCCCCTAACCCCCATTTTCCCTTTAATCTCTTCCCCCCCCCTCAGTTCCCTTTTAACCCCCAATGCTCCCAAGACCCCTTTTAACTCCCCCAAATGCACCCAGAGCCCCCCAAACCTCCCCAAATCCCAATCAAACCCCTCGCAAAGAAGGATCACCTGACACCCTGGGACAGGAAGACAGTGGGCTGTGCTGGGGGCACTGGGCTGTACTGGGAGATCCCTCATCCCCAAAACCCCTCCCCTGGGCATCCGTGCCCCAGTCTGGGAACCACGGCGGGGTTGGATCAAGGGGTGCACTTGATGATCTGGGAGGTCTTTTCCAAGCTGGCTGATTCTGGGATTCTCTGGGTGCCATTGCCAGGGCAGCACATGCTGGAGGCTCTGTCCACAGGGGATAGATGTGTCTGTGCAGACAGAGAGACAAGGTCAGTCTGCAAAGATGTGGGGTTAGAAAAGCAGGAGAAGTTGTGGGGTGGTTCCTGAAAAAAGAAAGAAGCCCCCAGGCCAGTGCAAGCAGGCCCCCCTGGGCTTGCACATCATCTGCCCTCCCTGCAGGTTCCTGTGCTGGAGAGCAGGCCCTGAGGTGGCCCTGAGCAATGGCCTGGAGGTGAGCCCAGAGCTGTCCCTGAGGTGGCCCTGAGAAGAAGTGGAAGGCAGAGGTGGTGCTGAGGCAGGAGAGCCCCGTGCTGGGGAAGAGGCTGATCTGGGAGTGCCCAGCAGCGAGAAGGTGCTGTGTCCATGCCCTGTGTGCCAGGTGAGCTGGGGCTTTGCTGCAGAGCTGCGGGCGCTGATTGGAGCGGCTGCAGCTGCTGAGCTGGTGGCACCCAGGAACACAAAGTGTGCCCGACCACGGAGCCTGCAGGGAGGAGCAGGGACAGCCCCAGGGGAGCACTGGGGGGCTGGGAACCTCTTGACTGGGGCAGGAAAGAGCTGCTGACCACGAGGACAGGATGTTGGTCCCAGCCACTGATGGGGCCGAGCAGAGCACGAGGCCTCTTGCAGACACCTGGAGCAGCCTCCCACTTGCCAACCCCGCCCTCGTGGGGTGACACTGTCCCCTCCCCGCAGAACACTCCCCATGAAATCCTTGGGGGGGCCTTTTGTGTCTATTGGTGGTTGCTGCTTCATCCTGGGGACCTGAGGGCCCCTCTGCAATCCCATCCCTGGGGCACAATCTGCTCTCTAGAGCTCGACTGACTCCCTGCAGACTTTGCAGGGAAATCTGTGCTCGCAGCCCGAGATTGTCGCGACCCCCATGTTCCCCCCAGGCTATTTGAGATCAATTCCTCCTTCCCAGGGGAATATGTCAGAAGGTAGCACCCTGAAGGTGAGAGTCAGAGGAGAAGGGACCCTTGGGACCCCCAACACTCCCAACATCCCAGACAGGGGGGACCCTCTGAACCCCAGAGGGAGGAGACAAGAGAGGGGGAATTCCTGGGAGAAATTTTTTTGGCATAAAGATTCGTATTTTGGCTGAACCTTAATTTTTGACGTTTCCAAGGGGATTCATCTTGCTGTTTCTGAGGTTTTTTGCCTCAGTGTCAGTGATTTTGGTTTTTCTCACCAAATCAGTTGTTGAGCAGCCTCCCAGCAAGGAAATGCCCTTCAGGTGCTTGGAATGTGGGAAGGGCTTCAACTGGAGCTCCAGCGTGATCCGACACCAACAGATCCACACTGGGGCACGGCCCTACACGTGTAGGCAATGTGGGAAGAGGTTTCAGACCAGATCACATCTCCTCGAGCACGAGCAGACACACACAGGGGAGAGGCCCTTCCGCTGCACCGACTGCGGGAAGGGCTTCACCCGGAACTCCACCCTCATCACCCACCGGCGCATCCACACCAGGGAGAGGCCCTACAAGTGTGAGGAATGTGGCAAGAGCTTCAGGGACAGCTCCAACCTCCGCATCCACCAGCTCATCCACACTGGGGAACGGCCCTACAAGTGCTTGCAATGTGGGAAGAAGTTTCAGACCAGCACAACTCTCCTCAGGCATGAGCAGACACACACAGGGGAGAGGCCCTTCCGCTGCACCGACTGTGGGAAGGGCTTCAAACGCAACTCCCACCTCGTTGGCCACCGGCGCATCCACACCGGGGAGAGGCCCTACAAGTGTGGGGAGTGTGGGAAGAGCTTCAGGGACAGCTCCAACTTGACCAAACATCAACGGACCCACCGGTAAGGGAAGGCCCTAGGAGTGCCCCAATTGCGGGAAGAGCTTTGGCCACTACTCCCACCCCAAATGCCCCCCCTGATGGTGAGGCAACCCCTGGAGTCCAGTGACTGTCAGTCCATCCCTTTCTACCAGAAAGGACCAGTGCCCTTTCCCAGGGGCAGGTTCTGCCATCAGAACCCTTCTTGGGGAGTGTGTGGAGATTCCTGCCTTGACTGGGACCCCCCAAGGTCACTGCTGGAGGTTGACAGCAGAGATCTCCCCAGGAGTGTTGGTCTGGGGGAGTTCCATCCATCTCTAACTCATAATTCTTGCTTTGGTTCCAGCTTGAGTAGAATTGCTTCAACAATTGCTTTAGTGTAGAGCACTGTCCTATCTTATGCTGTCCTACTGGTAGTATTAGTGTTTCTATTGTGCAGTAAATAATTCTGATGAAGATCTTTTGTCTGATCATTTGTAACCCTAAATAATTCATTTCTATCAATAGATGTGATTTGCCATCCTTAAAACCTGGGGGACAAAAGTGGTTCAGTCCCACCTCTGTAATTCCTCTAAACTGAACCTGTTGGCAAAACCCATGGCTGAGATTGGATCCAGCAGCCCCCAGCACCCCACAGTCAGTTGGGAGCTCAGAGGGGCCACCCCCCTTTTGTGAATCCTCCTGTTCCCAAAGACCCCCATGGGACTGTCAGACCTGCCAGACCACCCCCACTTTTCCACCCTTCTCCGTGTTCCTCCCACTTTTTCATGGTCCCCTGTTATAATCTGCTTAAATATTGCAGAAAGAACTTTAGATTTGAATATTCCCTTGAGCAAAACTAAAACTCACACAAGTTATCTGTTGATACCAAAACCTGATTTTTATTAATTGCCAAGAGGTGCAAAAAGAAAAGAAAAGGTTGGCAACTGCTAAGAATATTTCTAGAAGCAGAGAATACCACTGAAAAATACCTTTTCCCACTGAGCTGGTCTGTGTGTGGGGGAAGAGAAGCAGTTTCTGCCTTTTTTTCTCTGTCTCTGCAGCTTTTGGATGTTATCTCTGTAGCTGCAGGGGATCTGACAGCTTTAGTTCTCTGCAATGCACCATGTGTGGTTTCACCGCTCACGCCCCTGTCCCAGGCCGTGCAGGGTCTCAGCTCAGCCGAAGCTTTGGGCCCTCAGAAATATGGTCAGGGTAGAAGGATAAGGTAGAACTCCCATATGTGGCACGGTGGTCTCAGCTCTCTCCAGGCCGGCACAGTTCCAGTCTCCGGTGGCGGGCAGGCAGCACACGGTGGCGGAGAAAAGGTGAGGGGAGGTGGGCAGAGATTCTCGGCTACAGTCTCCAGTTCTTCTCCCTGATTTTCCAAAATTTGTCCTCAACTTTTATAGTGTTCAAAGGAGATTGAACATGGTTTCTTGGCATGTAGCCAGTTGAGATATTGGAATAGATATGATAATCATAAACAATGGCAGGATCTTTTGGTAGAAAAAGTGTCGTGGAAAGTCCTGGTGGGAACTTCTGGCAGAGAATGTTTGATAGGAAGTTTTTGACAGGCAGAAACAATTTTTGGCATTTCTATATTATCTGTGTGTTACAGATGGTTGCCATGGTAAGCAATGTAACTGGGAATGCATAATGGTTACCATGGTAACTGACCCTAGTGATGGGAATGCATAATGGTTACCATGGTAACTGACCCTAGTGATGGGAATGTGTAATGGTTGCCATGGTAACTGACCATAGCAATGGGATAATGTGATGGTTGCCATGGTAAACGACTTCACAATCAGGATGCATTAACCGACCCCAGCAATGTCAATGCTCAATGGTTGCCATAGTATCCCACGTAACAATGTGAATGCCTGTCTGTGTAGGTGAGCACAGTTTATTGATAGGAAGCAACCGAGAAAGCAAACATTTTATATCCTTTTTTTTTGTATCCCTTTAATTCCTTTTTTACTAACTAATGCTGTACTAAAAGCTGTTCTTAGTATTGTGTGAATGCCAACTGATAAAGTAGGGGTTTTGTATTTTTCAACTTTTGATCCTCTTTGCTGGAATTTTTTTTTTAATTTTATTCTCACAACAATAAAAGATTTTTTTTAGTGTTTGAATGACTGTTGTACTTGTCTTTATTCTGGGCATGGATTTAAACGAACTAATAAAGAAGGGACTGGAAGGAGGTTTCAGGGGGTTCTGAATGGGCTGGAAGAGTCCAGGATGGGGTTTGTGAGGTCCTGGATGGTCTATGGGAGGTTTTGGGGGTCCTGATCCCCCCGGCTCCCCCCAGAGATGCCACTGGACACTGTCCGCAGCAGATCCTGGTGGGGGTCGGGGGCTTTGTGTTGGACTTCATCTTCCTGGTGCTGGGGCTCAGCTTCTAGCTGCGGGAGAAGGTAAAGGGAGATCCCTGGGATTTGTGTCCCCCTTTCCCCAGAGCGTGTGTGCCCCCCTGCCCCCCCAGCCCGCTGTCACCCCCTTTTCTCTCCCCACAGAGCTCCTGAGCTGCCGGTGGCCGCATCCCCTCCCCATGGCCTCGGGCCCAGCTGGGACCCCCCAGTCCATCCCCACCCGGAGTTTGGGGGGTTTGTGTGTCCCTCCTTACCCTGCTTTTGCTCTCACACCAACCACCCGCTCCCAGTGCTTCCAGTAAAGCTTCCCAGTTCTCTGCAGTCCTGGTGTTGAAGGGCAGGTGCCCTCCCAAAGCCCCCCCAGAATCAGCTTATCCAAACTGTACAATGGTTGGGACCCGTTGTCTTTCTGCTTCCAGGAGTGTGTATTTTTCTGCCATGTCTGGTTCAATGTTTTCGCAGCTTAATGGCTCAAACTGTATCTGCTTTGATTAAAGAAAAAGGAGAAAGTGTAGGGATTTTTAGTGCTAAATATAGAGGATATGCTGCAGATGTGAGAATATAACCTTATGTTTCAATTGTGAAAACATGATCTGTTGTTCTGATGGCCTTCTGATGATACCAGGATGTGAAAGATCTACCAAGAGAAACGGTAGCAAAACTAGATATACAAAACGGTCTCAGTACCGACTATCAGAGTGGGAAAGGACATAAAGAATGTTAAAGAAACAGAGCTGATAGAAGAGTATTGTTAGAAAACTGGATCAAAGACTGCTGCTTGATTCCAATCAACGGCGCTCTCTGATCATCACATTGGTGTGCTGAGTCGTCCGTGCTCGCATGAAAACCCCCCAGGCAGGTGCCCTCCCAAAGGCCCCCAAACATCCCCAACATCCCCAGTGATGTCACCACTGTCCCTGGGATGTCACTGGTGTTCCCAATGATGTCACAGCTGTCCAATTGATGTCATCGCCGTCCCTGTGATGTCACCAGACAGTTGTGATGTCCCTGCTGTCCCCAAAGATGTCACCACTGTCCCCTGTGATGTCACCGCTCTCCCCAGTGATGTCATTGGTCCCCAGTGATGTCATGACGTCCCTCTAATCTTACCAACATCCTCAATGATATCACTGCTGTCCCTGTGATGTCACCACTATCCTCAATGATGTCACCAATGTCCCTGTGATGTCACTGGTGTCCCCAGGGATGTCCCCAGTTTTCCCATTGATGTCACCACTGTCCCTCTGATCTCACCGACATCCCCAATGATATCACTGCTGTCCCTATGACCTCATCGCTGTCCCTTTGATGTCACTGCTTTCCCTGTGATGTCACCACCATCCCCAATTATGTCACTGGTCCTCTGTGATGTCACTGATGTCCCCAGAGGTGGCACCGGTGTCCTTTGGTGTCACTAATGTCCCTGTGATGTCACTGCTATCCCTGTGATGTCAGCAGTCTCCAGTAATGTCACTGCTGTCTCTGCAGATTTCACCACTGCCCATGTGATGTCACTGTTTCCTCAAGGGTGGTTCCTGTGTCCCCAAAAGGTCACTGCTGTCCCAAGTGGTAGCACCATGTCCTCATGATGTCACTGATGTCCCATTGTTGTCACCAGTCCTTTGTGATATCACTGGCCCCCCAATGATGTCACTGCTGTCTCTGTGATGTCACCAGTGTCTCCAGCAGTGCCACCATATTCCTGTGATGTCACTGGCATCTCTGTGTTTTCACCAGAACTCTGTCCTGTCACTGATGTCCCTGTGACATCACAGATGTCCCTTTGTTCTCACCAGTCCCCTGTAATGACATTGGACTTCAGTGATGTCACCGATGTAACTGTTATGTCACCAGTGTCACCAATGATGTCACTTGTGTCTCTGTGATGTCACCCTTGTCCTTGTGAAGTCGACAATGTCCTCAGTGATGTCACCAATGTCCACGCTATATCATGGCTGTCCCTTTGTTTTCACCAGTCCCCTGTGACGTCACTGATCCCCAGTGCTGCCACTGCTATCCCTGTGATGTCTCCACTGCCCTCTGTGATGTCACCGATGTCCTTGTGATGTCACCTCTGTCCCCTATGTTGTAATCCCTGTCCCCTGTGATGTCACCAATAGCCCTGTGACATCACGGCTGTCCCTTTATGATCACCAGTCCCCTGCGACATCACTGGGTCCCAGTGATGTCACTGCTGTCCCTGTAATGTCACCAGTGTCATCGATAATGTCACTGGTGTCTCTGAGATGTCACCCCTATCCTTGTGAAGTCACCGCTGTCCCCTCTGATGTCACTGATGTCCTTGGGAGATCACGGCTGCCCCTTTGTTTTCACCAGTCTTCTGTGATGTCACTGGTCCACAATGATGTCACTGCTGTCCCTGTAATGTCACCACTCTCCCCTGTGATATCACCAATGTCCCCCATGCTATCACTGGTGTCTCTGTGTAATTATCTAGGTCCCCTGTGATGTCATTGATGTCCCTGTGACATCACAACTTTCCCTTTGTTGTCACCAGTCCCCAGTGATATTTCTGGTCCCCAATGATGCCATTGCTGTCTCTGTGATGTCATCACTGTCCCCAAGGGTAGCACCATATCCCTGTGATGTCACCAATGTCCCTGTGACATCACGGCTTTCCCTGTGTTGGCAACAGTCACCTATGATTTCACAGGTTCCTCTGTGATGTCACCACTGTCCCCTGTGATGTCACCAATGTCCCCAGTGATATCACTGGTGTCTCTGTGTTGTCACCTCCACCCCCTGTGATGTCACCAATGTCCCTGTGACATCACGGCTTTCCCATTGCTGTAAGCAGTCCCCTGTGACATCACCGGTCTCCAATGATGTCACTGCTGTCCCGGTGATATCACCACTGTCCCCAGCAGTGCCACCATGTCCCTGTGATGTGACCAATGTCCCTGTGATGTCACCAGACCCCTTTGATGGCACCGATATCCCTGTGACATCACTGCTCTCCCTCTGTTGTCTCTCTGATGTCACTGGTCCCCAGTGAGGTCCCTGCTGCCTCTGTGATGTCACCACTGTCCCCTGTGATGTCACCAATGTCCCCGATGATGTCACTGGTGTCTCTGTGATGTCACCACGAGCCTCTCTGATGTCACGGATAGCCCTGTGACATCACGGCTGTCCCTTTGTTGTCATCAGTCCCCTGTGAGGTCACTGGTCCCCAGTGATGTCACCAATGACCCTGTGATGTCACCACTATCCCCTGTGATGCCACCAGTGTCACTAATAATGTTACTGGTGTCTCTGTGATGTCACACATGGCCTTGTGATGCCACCGATGTCCCCTGTCATGTCACAGATGTCTCCAATTATGTCACTGCTGTCCCTGTGATGTCACCACTGTCCCCAGGGGTGACACCATGTTCCCATGATGTCACCAATGTCCCTGTGATGTCACCAGACCCCTATGACATCACTGTTGTATCTGTGACATCACAGTTATCATTTCATTGTCATCAGTCATCTGTGATGTCACTGGTCTTTAATGATGTCACTGCTGTCTCTGTGATGTCACCACTGTCCCCAGCAGTGGCACTGATATCCCTGTGATGTCACCGATGTCCCTGTGACATCATGGCCTTTCCTTTCTTGTCATCAATCCCCTGTGATGTCAGTGGACCCCAATGATGTCAGTGCTGTCCCTGTGATGTCACCACTGTCCCCTGTGATGTCAGCAATGTCCCCGATCAAGTCACTGGTGTCCCTGTAAAGTCACTGATGTTCCTGTGATGTCACCTCTGTCCCCTGCGTTGTCACTATTGTCCTTGATGATATCACTGGTGTCACTGTGATGTCACCCCTGTCCTTGTGAAATCACCCATGTCCCTTGTGATGTCACCGATGTCCCTGCGATACCACACCTGTCCCTTTCTTTTGCACAGTCCCCTGTGATGTCAATGGTACCCAGTGATGTCACCCATGTCCCTGTGATGACACCAATATCCCCAATGCTGTCACTGATGTCTCTTTGATGTCAGCCATGTACTTGTGATGTCACTGATGTCCTATGTGATGTCACCGATGTTCCTGTGACATCACAACTGTCTCTTTGTTTTCACCAGTTCCCTGTGATGACACTCGTCCCCAGTGATGTCACCAAAGTCCCTTTCAATAGGGTTAGGGTAGGCATAAGTTTTAGGGTTAAGGGTTAGGGGTTAGGGGTTAGCGTTAAGGTTTAGGGTTTAGGGGTTGGGTTTTGGTTAGGGTTAAGGGTTAGGATTAGGGTTAGGGGGTTAGGGTTTTGGGTTAGGTTTAGGCTTACATTTAGACTTAGGTTTTAAGGTTAGTGTTAGAGGTTAGGGGTCAGGATTAGGCTTAGAGGCAAGGGTTAGGTTAGGGTTTGGTTTTAGGTAACGTTTTGGTTAGAGTAAGGGATAGAGTTACAGTTAGGGTTTAGAGTCAGATTTAGGTTTAGATTTTGTTTTTAAGGTTAGGTCTATGGTTTAGTACTGTCTAAGATACCTCCCAGTCCAAAGGTGCAGATGTCTCCACAGAATCTTGGGCTGCCATTCCCTTGGGATATGGAAGACAGGTGGGACAGCATTCTGGGGTAGTGAGGTATTGGTTCTTTGGTGGCCAGGGAGCATTGCAGAATGGAGAGGTTGTGATATCTGAAAAAGGTCGTTGGTTCACGGGTGGGGCTGCACTGGGCACTGTGGGGTGAGTGTTCTTTCGTTTTCAGGGGCCACTCTGGAATGGAGAGGGTAGGCCATGATACCACAAAGAGGCCCATG